GATATATCCCGTACGCGAGGGACACCGCAATCATTCTCCGCTTTCGTTGACACGCGCGGCATGAAATTCTTTCGTTTCATTCGCGATCACCGGCGATGTATCCTCGAAAATTATTCTAAGAATTCTTACAGTGCTTGAGAACCCATCGGATGCATCGTGCAGCCATTTGTAAAATAATCAATTCCGTGCATGCTTAAAATGCACTTCTGTCTAATAGAATTTTTTACGCGATACAGCGAAGATGTTCTTGACGCTTCCAACCGGTCGATTCTGTTTGCAAACAATGTGTCTGTCCATTGAGGACTTACTTGCAGAAATTGAAGTGCATTTAAAATAATGCAGATTTTGATGCACTCGTGATAAAATAGGCGAAACGCGAAACAGTCAAATGCTTACATAATGGCAACATTTTGACGCTTCGAATGCACTTGCACAATTTTTACTACATTCTTCCGTTAATGCATTTAGTCTACCAAGTGCAGTGAGGTTCTGCAAAGTGCGCTAAGATTGCACTCATTAATTATATATAGAATATATAGAATAAAAGAATGTACATATTCAATTTCGACTCGACTTTAGGGTATTTGAATATCTTCTATAAAACAGGATATTAATTACAAAGTAATATTGAAATTGCATTTTAAAGCAAAGAATATTATTTAAAAAGATCTAAGAGATCTATTAATTAAAGAGATCTAAGAACAGAATTTCTGAGTCAAGAAAAGCATTATATTTTCAATATAAAATGAATACATAATATATTCGACTAAAAATCACCCAGCATCGTTCAATTTTCATTCCATTAAATACCCTGCCTCGATGCTGTGAAATTTCCGCGGTTGCTGGCGATATCAAGGCGTCAATGAAACAATGGAGATCCGAATCGCGGATTTCCATGTTCCCGGATCGATCGATCACGGCGGAGGATCGTGGCCGCGGCAAAGAGAGATTCTCCGCGCGTAGAAACGTCTTCGTAGTCGCAGCTTTCTTCCGATATCTGCTCGCGGCGAGCGTTACGAAACGATCGGTTTGTTGACTTTTCCTCGAAGGATGCCGCGCGCGTTTCGCTGCCATTGCTACCACCACGGAGGAGGATCGACGTCGCGGGAACCACGTGAAAGCAGTCATCGATCAGCCGAATCGCGACCTTTCGCATCGAGATCGGTATCGCCGTAGCACTCGGCTGTAAAACGGCTCGCTCGGCTCTCTTTCGCCGGATCTATCGTGATCGCGTTACGCAATCATGCTAATGCGGGTTCCCGCGGTCGCACAGCTGATCCAGCCGGCCCTCCGGGCGAACACTTTGCTACCAGACGGAAAACAATCGATCGTCGGGGCGAGAGAATCGGCTTCCGGGATATTTTCCAGATACGGGACACCTGAAACGCGTGCATCCGGTGCATCGATAAACCTTTCCTCGATGTTTACAGCCAGCTTTCATTACTTCCAGCTCGTAACCGTTCTTTCGGACAGCGTTCGAAGCATTGTGGGATAAATTGTGCGGACATTGATCGATTATTTGCAGAAGGGAATATAATCTGCTTGGTCGTTATATCGTTTTGGACCACGCAATCTCTCATAGATCGCCGAAGAATCCGGTCTGCTATCGAGGTAAATTAACGTAGAGCCTACCGAGGCGATGGAACCGACCGTTTCAGCATCTTTTATTGTAAAGTTGCCGAAACAATCGAGACTCTTTCATAGAGAACGATTAAATAAATTTGACGATCCAAGTCCGAATTGTCCATGATCAAAATGATCCAAGTCCAAAAATAGCGGAAGGTCTAAATAAACGCAATCTTCTCGTCGTTATAAAACAACAGGCGTTTGATACTTTCAGGCCTCGGTAGGTTTAATGTTCGAATGAACAGGATTACAGGCTCGGCCGATCGAGCTGTGTTTGCGTACGGATGTAAGCGGCGCGATCAAAATTTGATTATCGGGTTCTCGATATAACATACAAGAGTAAAAGTGAATACCGCGGTCCGAGACAATGCCTCTGTAACAGAACTTTCTAGCCAGCCGGGCACACAAGTATTCGATAATCCGGTCTGCTATCAAGGAACATTGGAAACAAGAACATAGCTCAGTCAATCGAATTCAGCTTGTACATTAGAGCGAGCAACGTTCTATGTCTGTGCCGGACAGGACAAAAATAGACACCGTGGTCTAAAACAATGCTCTCGTTCGGAACTTTCTAAACAACGTTGCAAACAAGACCACGATACCGGGCTGAATGACTTGCACAACAGTCCTTAAAGCCATGAAAACAGTTTCGAAATCGCACGGCGCCGCCAAAAACGCTGCGACGACGGGGAAACACACCGGCGCGAATGCTTTTTCGTTGGACGGCGAAGAAGGACGGCTCTATCGAAGGCAGGCGTCCGTCTCTATCCGGAATAAGGAGCTTCGGTTTCACTGGCGTCGGTGAAAATGTCAACAGGATCGGGCTGGGACGGAGGTGGATCGTTTGCACGGCCTTGAGGCGGAATGCCAGCCGCACCAGGAAACAACGGGCTCCATTTCGGCGACACGTGAACACGTGAACACCTCCACGGACATCTCCGGAGCCGAGAGAACCGTGTGGTTGCCCAATCAGCCTCAGCGAGCGAAAAGAAAGCCGTTCTGTTGCGCAACCACGCGTCGGCTCTTTCTAAACCGTACGAGGCGCTGCGTGCACGCCGCTGCGTCCGGGCGCAGCCTGGGTCGCCAAGGACCCGACGCGCGATCGTGATCCAGCAGTCTCGAAATCGCGAGAAAAATGAACCAGTTGGACGAAGAAAACTCGTCGAATTTGAATAATCCATAGGAATTGGAATAATTGTTCGATATTTAAGAGTTTTAATAGTGTTTTAACACGTTCCGTGCCACGTGTACCATCGATGGTACACCTGTCTCTTATACACATCTAGATGTGTATAAGAGACAGACACATAACAACGTAACAAAAACTTATCAACGCCCATTCTTGCGGTGGAAATTGATTCTTCGGTTCTAAATTTCTTGTAAACAATTTGTTCAGTTCACTAAGTAAACATGCAAGCGTGTACCATCGATGGTACACCTGTCTCTTATACACATCTAGATGTGTATAAGAGACAGACACATAACAACGTAACAAAAACTTATCAACGCCCATTCTTGCGGTGGAAATTGATTCTTCGGTTCTAAATTTCTTGTAAACAATTTGTTCAGTTCACTAAGTAAACATGCAAGCGTGTACCATCGATGGTACACCTGTCTCTTATACACATCTAGATGTGTATAAGAGACAGACACATAACAACGTAACAAAAACTTATCAACGCCCATTCTTGCGGTGGAAATTGATTCTTCGGTTCTAAATTTCTTGTAAACAATTTGTTCAGTTCACTAAGTAAACATGCAAGCGTGTACCATCGATGGTACACCTGTCTCTTATACACATCTAGATGTGTATAAGAGACAGACACATAACAACGTAACAAAAACTTATCAACGCCCATTCTTGCGGTGGAAATTGATTCTTCGGTTCTAAATTTCTTGTAAACAATTTGTTCAGTTCACTAAGTAAACATGCAAGCGTGTACCATCGATGGTACACCTGTCTCTTATACACATCTAGATGTGTATAAGAGACAGACACATAACAACGTAACAAAAACTTATCAACGCCCATTCTTGCGGTGGAAATTGATTCTTCGGTTCTAAATTTCTTGTAAACAATTTGTTCAGTTCACTAAGTAAACATGCAAGCGTGTACCATCGATGGTACACCTGTCTCTTATACACATCTAGATGTGTATAAGAGACAGACACATAACAACGTAACAAAAACTTATCAACGCCCATTCTTGCGGTGGAAATTGATTCTTCGGTTCTAAATTTCTTGTAAACAATTTGTTCAGTTCACTAAGTAAACATGCAAGCGTGTACCATCGATGGTACACGCTTGCATGTTTACTTAGTGAACTGAACAAATTGTTTACAAGAAATTTAGAACCGAAGAATCAATTTCCACCGCAAGAATGGGCGTTGATAAGTTTTTGTTACGTTGTTATGTGTACGAGAATTAATAATTGCACGTAATACATCAAGTTTTAGTAAAATATCAAAGTGTGAAGATTCGAGTAAAAAAAGCTCGGCACGGAACGTGTTAAGGAACTGGCGATGAAAATGGGCGCTGTGCGAATGCAGAGGATCTTTACAGACGTTTTCTTAGGGAACAAAGTGCACGAAATCTGTCTTCAAGTTTCAGTCGTCGAGTTTAATAACTAAACTACGGATCTTCATGAAAAATCAAAATGTTAGGCATTAATTGCAGGAAACAGGGATCGAACAAAAATGTGTTCGTTGTTATACATTAATGATAATATAACAGCATATCGTCTAATCGCTTCCGCCGTGAATGCATAAAATCCGCAGCCTGGCGATTACATTATGCCGAACAGCCTTCAGAAATCACGTCATCGAACAGTCGGTGTTCTCTTTCAGCTGTAGATCAATGAAATCTGACGTCGGAGAAATCTCTGCAGGATTTTCATTGAAATTTCCATTCTATCCGGCGAGAGATCTCGAAACACAATTACAACCCTTTCCGTCAAATCTGCGGAAACAATGAGTGTCGGGAAGCGTTCTCTACGAGCACAATTGAAACCGGGGTCGCGCGCGACCCGGGCGCCGCTTGACGTTAAACACCAAGTTAGATTTCACCTGGCGAATAATCGCGGAGACAATTGGTCACCGATTTAACAGCTCGGCGCGGTTAATTAGCGGCAGTTTGTGTCACGCGAGAGCAGCGTTCGCGAGACCGGGGAGAACAACCGTATTGTGCGTCACGGTTTTCCGCTCGGTTTCGTTTCATCGCGGCGCCGATTCCCAGCTCGGTTTCTTCGAGTTTTCCGGGGTGATCGGAGGCGGTCGCGGAACAATGAGAGCACACGGACGTGTACGGAAGCCGCGGATATCGAATATCGCAGTTACGGGAATGTGATCTTTCTTTTTCGTTTTCCTGGTTCCAGTGACGGGACAGCAGGCGGCGGCGGTCTGGTGAACGTGAACGCTCTGGGAACGATGCAGAACAACGCGGACAGCACGTTGGACGTGACGATCACGCCGAGCACGGTCCTATCCACGCCAGGGCTGAACAACCCTGCGTGGAACAGGCAGCAGGCAGTCAGCGTCAGGCATGCGTTCAAGACCTACGGCAGCAGCAAGAACCCCAATCATGTGATACAGAACCTGAGCATGACCGTGGCCAAAGGGTCCATGTGAGTATTATTCTCTTTAGCGATCAGCATTTCAGCTAGAATTATGGAAAAGTTACGATTTTGGTAACTGAACGAGGGACCAGCATTTCTTGGTCCAAGGAGGTCATTTTTGGGAATTTGTTTCTTCATTTATTCTATTTTATTTCCCTTATTTAAAGATAACGAAACCTTCTGTCGTAATACTATATTTTGCTTGCCAATAATACTATATTTTAGTAACTGAACAAGGGACCAGCATTTCTTGGTCCAAGGAGGTCATTTTTGGGAATTTGTTTCTTCATTTATTCTATTTTATTTCCCTTATTTAAAGATAACGAAACCTTCTGTCGTAATACTATATTTTGCTTGCCAATAATACTATATTTTAGTAACTGAACAAGGGACCAGCATTTCTTGGTCCAAGGAGGTCGTCTTTGGGAATTTGTTTCTTCATTTATTCTATTTTATTTTCCTTATTTAAAGATAACGAAACCTTCTGTCGTAATACTATATTTTGGTAACTGAACAAGGGACCAGTATTTCTTGGTCCAAGGAGGTCGTCTTTGGGAATTTGTTTCTTCATTTATTCTATTTTATTTTCCTTATTTAAAGATAACGAAACCTTCTGTCGTAATACTATATTTTGCTTGCCAATAATACTATATTTTGGTAACTGAACAAGGGAGGCATCTCTTGGTCCAAGGAGGTCATCTTTGGGAATTTGTTTCTTAATTTATCCTGTTTTATTTCCCTTATTTAAAGATAACGAAGCCTTCTGTCGTAACTGCACACTTGCCAATAATACTATAAACGATCATTTTCGCTATTGATTATCAATGCTTTTAGACGACAGGTACATAGATACTTACCCTCCTCTTAATTATTTAGACCATTTACTTCGAATCCATCAAAATTAGTTTTTTTACATTTTTACTACATATTTTTGATCATGTACTCGCTGTTACTGTACTTATTTCGTTTTAACTCATAATGCGCATGTAGCCGTAAACAAATGTAATGTAACAGAAATGTCAAGGACAATTTTACGCTTAAACATGTGCGAATTATCGTGTATAGTCTAGCACGTCTGGTCAAGTGCTATGGATTTTTGTAAACAATAATATTGCGCGAAGTTACAGCCGAGAGACTTCAATTTCGAAGAAATGTTTTTTGGGGGAAATTTATTAAAAGAGAACTGTCGAACCCACAGGCTTGGTGTTTTTCACACGCGTTTTAGCATATCCGAAACGGTTCTCTGAATTTTCAGAAGCAACGATATCAAAAACTGAGAAAACGACGGTCGAATCGGAGCAGAATCATTTTTGCAAGGACGCAGACAATGTCGGATTGAATCGACGATTAACAAATGAGTGTTGTAGCCCCTTTCGAGCCAGAGTTTAGCGTGGTTACCTGTACAGATAAGTTGCTAATGAGCGGAAGCAGGAGTTAGAAATTTGTCGGGTAAGCGTTTCCTTCCAGGCGAAAAAAGGAAATTCAATTCGTGCGGGCAACTCCGCTGACAGTATTTCTAGTCTCGTTGCTCTTTAATTCGTCACTCGCTAAAACGCATAAATATCCGCGGGCAACTAACTAATCACATATCGCCGTCCATAAAATTACTGTATGCACAGCTATCGTAATAACTGCGCCAATTATTACTGTAATTACCGCTTGCCAGACAACGTGATCCGCGAGAGAGAGAGAGAGAGAGAGAGAGAGAGAGAAGCATAAGAGCGCCGGGAGAACTAGATTTTATTCTATTCTATTTGTCAGGGTGAACCGTGAAAAAGCATTGTAAAAATCGGGGCGCGTTTTCGCGTTACGAAACCGTCCGAGAAACGCGGCAACGCTCCCTCTCATTGTTCCGCTAACGGTGAACCGGTCGCCGGTTCTCCGAATAAAATAATAAACCGAAATTACGGTGTTCCGCGATCCAGTAATTTCATAAACGTCCCGCTAACGATGCAGATTCCCGCGCGATAACGCGAAAAAACGAGCGCGCCGATGAAAGAGCACTCTGTGCTCGGTTCATTGTTCGAAAGCGAGCACGGCGGAGGAAGTATTACTTAAAATAGATTCCTTTTGTTTCCGACGATAACGTTACGTCGACCGAATAGATCGAGCTCGATCGAATAATCAATCTTCGCACGAGCGCAGCTCCGCAGGCAGCGAAGGCTAGAAACAAGTAATCCTTGATTGCGTTAATTGATGCACCTGCTGCACGTGGCGAAACCCGCTCTCCGCTCGTGGATCGACCGTTGGATCTTTCTTCGTTGATCCGATTCGTGACGCTCTTAAACGATCGACGCAAATCAATCAAAATGGGAAATACTTGCTGTGATCATCGTAGCAAGATCGTTCGCTTCCCAAACGATTGGATATATAAAAAGTATATTCACATTTTTTGTCAAATTTGATGAAATGACTTGAATTATTTTTATATGTTAAAGGGACTAGTTTACTGTACACAATGATTAAGATACTTTTGTAAATACTGCTGTGACTTGGAACGATAAAAGAATAAAAGAATTATGTTTCTTTCAACTTTTTTATCTGCGCATGTACGGAAATTTAAAGAAAAAATGCATTTCGTAGATCTTGGTAACTTGTGCGCATACAGAAAGTTTGATCGAAACAGGACAATTTGGAGAAATGAAAATTCCTTTCTTCGATCCAGCGATCGTGTATGTTTCATCATTGAGCGAAAGGTTCCATTTTAACGTCGATCACATATGTGCGACACTAATTATTGACCAATTATGAAAATTCATTTTCGCTCTAATATATTCGAACAAACTCTATTCGACTAGGATTGCAGATGCGAAAGAGTTCTAATCTCATGCGCCATGATCAATTATAACTTTCTAGTTCGAATTTCATTAATTAAACTGTTTTGACTTTGTGGGAATTTTAATGATTGATCGTTGGCGCCGAACGTGTTAAATATCGATCGCGTAGATTTCGAAGGGCAAAGACGTCCGAATGATCGACGGATCCAGCAGATTGGACCGTAGGGAAACGAGCGGAGGCTTTCGTAGAAAGCTACGAGGAACAGGATCAGCGGATCGTGACGATCTCCGGCAAATACACCGCGGTTCACGAGGAAAACACGGCCTTTCTTTGGATCCCCGACGCGCCGGTGAATTATACCCGAATTCCCATGGACATGCAAACACGTCGCGTTTCTACAGGTGGTTTCCGGCACGAAATAAATCGCGGAATGTCATTATCCTCATTATATAATTATCGCGTCGCATTATCGTCGTCACTGTTACGGATACCGGGCTCTTCCACGGCGTCCAAGGAGCGGACGTAACGCGAACGATTACATGAACAAACTCGCCTGCGAAATTCGCGACTCCGTTGACGGATTGAAGATGGCGAACGCTCGTCTCTTCGACGATTAAATCCGATAACCACGTATTCATGGGAACGCACACGGAATCCTTGAGAGTGTCGTCGATCGGTTGCGTTTGCTTCGGCCGCGATCGTCGCCGGTAAATAATAATTAACTCGGACATTGCGAACGATTATCCTTAGGCGATCAGTTTCATGTCGGATCAAAGTACGGTGCTTCAGATCCATAAACATTTTTCTAACCGGTAGGAACGCTGCTCGGAGTTCTTCGGAGCTGAATGAATCTTATAAAACTAGTTTAAGATGCATTTTAATGTGCAGTTCTATGTCACTCGGTGTTCCTGGAATAACTTTAATGCGGTGCATTAATCGGTCCTTGAAACGATCCGCATAGTCGCATCGGTGTTTTCATCATGACTATTTTCATCATGAGATATTTCGCGATCGTCGATCTCGATATTCTGCTATCTGCATCCTCGATGAACGCACGATTTTTATTCCCATTAAAATACTCTCGCAACATCGAAGTCATTTAATTAATGCAACCGAATCTAAGAAGTTTCAATATTGCTGTAGGAAATATTAGTTCGACTCTTTCGTATTGCAAAAATCCTGGTAACATTCGGTTCGTTCAATATGTTGCAATAAAATGTTTTCCTGCGTTTTCTTACTTTTCCTTTTAATTTTTTCACTTTTGTTATTCGTCGTATGCACCGAACAAAACAACATTGCAACATAAACGATGCCTAGCATGCTTCGTTGTGATATGTACCCTTAATTGACTAAGAAATATGTCAATTAAAACATCAAATTTTATCCTGAAATGTCAAGGACCCGCGAAGTTTCTTCACTTTCGTAATTGTATAATTATTCCGAATTCCTTGAAAGCTGAACAATTCTCCCAAAACTGGTGAGAATAACGTAAGGATAAATTCGTCTTGGCGAAAGTACGCGTGTTTTTGGAGCCCAAGCCAAATTTCCTCCGGCCCAATCTTGATGATATTTTTTGTTTTCGTCAGTTATGGACTGCTCGGCGCCAGCGGATGCGGCAAAACCACTCTTCTCTCGTGCATCGTCGGCCGAAGGCGATTGAACTCCGGCGAGATCTGGGTCCTTGGTGGCAAGCCGGGAACAAAGGGGTCCGGGGTCCCTGGAAAGAGGGTCGGCTACATGCCGCAGGAGATAGCCCTGTACGGGGAGTTCACGATCCGCGAGACCATGATGTATTTCGGCTGGATATTCGGCATGTGCACCGCCGAGATCGTCGACAGGCTGCGATTTCTGCTGCAGTTTCTCGACCTTCCCTCGCAGAATCGACTGGTCAAGAACCTCAGGTTCGTGGAACTTCCTCTGTTCGCTTTCCTACGTTCCCGCTCCCATCCTGTTCGCATCGAAACGAAGTACTTTGGGAGATATCTCTTCGTCTCGTCGCGCACGATCCTAAAAACGCTGCCGATTCGCATGCGTGTAGCAGGGAAATAACTGGTTCAAACTGTTATATCTGTAGCTTATTTACATATGTATATATGTACATATACAGGGTGTCCCAGGTTTTAATGTATAAACTTTGTTAGTGTATTCTATGGCACAAAGTAAGAAAAAAATGTTATGTAAACATATGTCATATAGAGCTTTATTAAGAAGTTATAACAAAAATTCAGAATAGGAATAGTAATCAACTAAAAAAAAAAATAAAAAATAAAAAAGATCTTCGATCGATGTCAATCATGTATTGTCAGCAACGGTTATTAATACATTTCGAAATGTATTAATAAACACAGCTTACATAAACACACGGCATGTGCTGATCTATTTAAGCCAATGCTCGCAGTAACAGCAAGTTGATTACTATTCCTATTCTGAATTTTTGTTATAACTTCTTAATAAAGCTCTATGTGACCTATGTTTACATAACATTTTTTGCTTACTTTGTGCCATAGAATATACTGACAAAGTTTGAACATTAAAACCTGCGACACCCTGTATATCTCTGGGGAAAACGTCTCGTGTTATAACATGAGAAAATTTAAGCGAATGCATTAATTGATCTGTAGGATATTAATCGAACTGTAGCATCATCAGAAAATGCATCGAGAATGCAGTTTAAAGCACTGTTAATACGAAGTACAATAATGTCTCCCTAATTGACGCTCAGATTGTCCACAGAAGTGGACAATTCGGGAAGAGGACATACGATTATTCGAGCCTTGCAGCTCGTTTTTATAATTGCTGAAAATCGGTAACTATAAAAACGAGTCGCAAGGCTCGAATTCGCAAGGCTCCTCTTCCTCCCAAGTTGCCCATTTTCGTGGACAATCTGAACGTCAATTAGGGAGACATTACTGTATACATTACTGATCAGAATGTTAGGACATTTTGAATAATCATTTTTAACAGAAAGAAGCTTCTTTACGTTGAGATTCGATCCGGATCGTTTAGAAGCAATTTTCATTTTTATACAGTCTTTAAATAACGATTTTATTGTTCCTTTTCTTAAGTAATCTCTATTTAAGGAGATCTTAGAGCATCGCGCGATCCAAAAGGATCGTCCTTTGTCTCCGACCCACCTGATCCAAATCCTCCAGGATCAACGTCCTCGTTTCCTCGCATCGTTTAAAACGTACAATTTGAAAAAATTGGAGCTTGTCGTAAGGAAAGTGGCTCCAATGAAATCTGCACGCGACTAATCGATCGATGTTCCCGCAGCGGTGGCCAGCAACGAAGAGTGTCCTTCGCCGTGGCCCTGATGCACGATCCAGAACTCTTGATCCTGGACGAGCCGACGGTCGGCGTCGATCCGTTGCTGCGACAGAGGTGAGTTCGTTGTCGGAAATTAACTTCACTATGATCTCGAGGTAACGAGGATCCCCGGTAATATTATGCCAAAAAATAGCCGCGAGCCAGTTCCGAGCACCGATCGACTCGAAGGCCAAGGTACGATCGGCATCGTTCCCGCGGAGCCGAGAAAAATCGAACGAGAGAGTAAATCGCGCGTGACCGTAGCTCGCGCGCGGAGATCGCGCTTTTAGTGAAAGCGGACCGTCGTCGGATCGGAAAAGTTCAGGATAGAGGCGGCCGAACGGGACGGCGCTATTTTTAAACCCCGGATCGACCTTTCATTATCGACAAGCCGCGAAAATTAGAGTCGTCGATAAACTACAGGGTGCCCCAAAATGTCTCGCAATCCGGAAATGACGGGTTCCTCGGATCATTTGAAGCAACTTCTTCCTTTACAAAAATTTTCTCCGAGGCACTGTTAACGAGTTATTAACGAAAAACAGTGACCAATAAGAATCGAATACGGCTGACGCGAGGCGGCCCAGCCAACCAGCGCACGAAGCCCAGTTCCGCTCATTGGTTCGGTCGCCTCGCGCCAGCTGTGCTCGCCTCTCATTGGTCACTGTTTCTCGTTAATAACTCGTGAACGGTGCCTCGGAGAAAATTTTTGTGAAGGAAGAAGTTACTTCAAATGACCCGAGGAACCCGCCACTTTCGGATTGCGAGACATTTTTGGGACACCCTGTACATCGCCGAACAATTTCGTCCGCAGCCGTTCGGCTTCGTAGAGAATTTCCTCGTAAGCTGTGTTGTGCAACCGACGACGTCGTCGGACCATAGATGACCTGCTCCAGATAAATTGCATGGAAAAAAAAGGTGCACCGTGAATGCAAATCGTCGTACGTGCACGCTTACGTACAACTTTGTTGTCGCGGGTTACGTTCCACCGTGCTTGCGTAAGCCATCGTTTGAAAGTTCGTGCACGCCGATCGAAAACTCGTAAAACTGAACCAGTCTTTTAGGATCCTTGCAGACGTTATGATTGCCGGCAATTAACTTGCGTCTTTCCCGAGCAAACAAGTGCGCGATATTACGTGCGTTCTTATTTACGTCTTCTATTAAAGCAGATTGTATCCGATCAATTCTCGTTTCGCAACGATTTCACGATGAAAATGGCATTGTTCGAGGGACTGTTCTAGCGCGAATTGCGTTTTTGTTTCACTTTCTTTGGGATTTTCTTGCGATGAATCTGTAACACCTTTCGCATAGTTGTATTTACAGGGTTCATTTATGCACGTTTCAATTTAACAGTTTTTTTTTAAAGTTAATACCAATGGTATCGACTGCTTTCAAGCATGGTCGAATTTCGAAAAGATCGTCTCATGGTGACCATGAAGAACTCAGTCTTATGGTTTTGTAGATGTACTTTGAAATCTGCATTCTTTAAGAAAACGTAGAAACAAAATCGATTTTTTTAAAGATTAACCCTTTGCACTCGAATGGCGAGTCTGAGGCGCCGCTAAAAATTGCTATATAATATCTATATATATATAATTAGCTCTATCAAATATATAATTAGCTGCATATATTTAATAAATTTGTTTATATTGAAAGAATTGTTAAAAGTGAAGTTATCGTACGAGCGAGTAAACTGACTTTCATATGCAAACAATGCAAAAATAATAACATTGGAAGAATTATCTTAGTCTTGAAGTTAAAACAGCTTCGAGTGCAAAGGGTTAACAATAGAATACCATCTCAATGCACTTGTATCTCGGCATTCCGCACACGAATAAACGATTTCAACAGTCTCCTCGCATCGACTCTCTAGGCAAAATGAGTCTAAGTCTTCGATTGGTCGTTGATTATCGAGCAGAGATCGTTGAACAGTGATGGATTGTTGCGAATTGAAACGGAATCAATCGATCGGCATCGTTAAGCATCGTTCGCACTTATTTTCCTCGGCTTTGGAACCAGTCGGGCATTGAGAGGCGAGGAAATTCAGTGAAAATTAGCTGCCGGGCAGCTCTGGCAATCCGGTGGAACCCGTATTATGAAATTATGGGGCCGGCCGATTACAGCGGGGAGGAATGCTGAAAATCGCGGCGGTTGTCGATGCCGATTCGTGGCGTGTCCAATTGGAATGCTCGCGATTTACATTTCCACTTATCGACTCTCCGGCTCGCCGGCCGGTTCGAATGAATATTTCCTTCGATATCGAGACCCGACAAATTTTTCCGTTTAAGGGCGCCGATCGACGAAGGTATCCGCGCCTTCGAGCGATCCGTCCGAAGGCATTTCATCGGCTGTCTTCTTCGCCAAGATGAACCGTGGAAAACAACGTCGACACAGCGTTGTCTTAACCTACTTGGACCGTGACATGACGTGGCTCCGGGAATTTCGCAAGCGGCACCTCGCCGTGTATTACGAGCTTAACGACGCGCCGATTGAAAAAATCCCGGCTGGCTCAATCGCCGGCAATTATCCGGCGAAAGTAAAATTTCGTGGCGGAGAACGAACGGCCGAGAGATTTTCCTTGTGCCGATACCTCGACGATTTTCCTCGTCGCGCGCGGCGGGCATAAGTGGCCCCTTAGATCGTTGCGATACGAACATTTTTCGCTGAAAATAATTCCACGGCAATGTTTTTACTCGTTTGCCAAGTTTGGGATCGTTGGTACGCTTACGACAGTAAATTCTTCCTAATTGGTGCTCAGCTTGTACACGAAAATAATATAATACAACTATAATACAACTGTAAAATACAATTATAATACAACTATATAATACAACTATAAAAACGAGCCACAAGACTGGAACAATCGTACCTCTTCTTCCCAAATTGTCCATTTTTGTTTCCAAGCTAAGCGCGAATTAGAGATAATTTACTGTATTAAGTTCGTAGTGTCGGATTTTTTAATCTCGACAAGGTGCCAAACGTTGGAAATTTATTTTGAGGAAACTGTCAATTTTGTAGGTCTGAGATTTTGTACACGTCATCTGGCATGTGTGGTCAGAATCGTGCTAATTTAGTACTCTGTAATTCAATGTCGCAATTCAATTACAATGTAATTCAATGTCGCAATTCAATTGCATTGTAATTCAATGTCGGAATTCAATTACATTGTAATTCAATGTCGCAATTTAATTGCATTGTAACTCAATTTGGCAATTCAACTCTACATTGTATTTCAATTAAATGGTAATTCAATTATGTTGTATTTCAATTACGTAGTCGTTCAACTAAGTTGTATTTCAATTACACAGTCATTCAACTGCACCGTACTTCAATTACACAGTAATTCAACTGTGTTGCAATAATCAATTACATTCTATTTCAATTACATAGTAATTCAACTATGTTGTATTTCAATTATGTAGTCATTCAACTGCATTGTATTTCAATTACACAGTGATTCAACTACATTGTATTCCAATTACATAGTAATTCAACTATATTGCAATTCAATTACATTCTATTTCAATTACATAGTAATTCAGCTCATTCGATTCACGCTCAGATCGCCGAGAAAAACGACGGAAAACTGAGAATTACGAAAACGACAGGCCTCGAAACACGACGCTTTCGTTTTTTTCATGAAGCATCTCGGCAAAACGATCACATTTGGGGCGAAATAAGGAAGCGGGCAGAACATTTGTGCACGACGGCGAGAATAATGGAAGAAAGAACGTCAGATTACCCACGACAAGACGTTCCATTGGGCATTTTGACTGGAAAGTCAAACGACGACACGGGGAGGGCTAATTAGCCGCGAGAAAGTTCGCAACGCGATATTATTCGCTCGTTTCGCGCGCGCTTCCTCGGGTCAACGCGTGTGGAAGCCGAGGTTCGCGGCAGCGATCGGCAAGTTTACGAGCTCTCGTGTTCCATTCGCGGTTTCACGAAATTGAAGTTTCCTCGCGCGGCTCCGGGCCGTTCCGAGCGCGAGGAAAATTCATGGCTTCCGCGGCTCGTTTGCTCGTTCACTTTCTCGATTACGATTCCGTTGATCCGAATCGGCTCGCTGAAACGAGCTGCGCCACGGTTATTGTTACGTATTAGCGAGCATTCCTCGGCTACTTTTTCACCGACAGCCGCGCTCCTATCGGGACGATTTTAGGAACGCTTTGAGCCAATTAGACCGTGGATCGTTACGCACGTGAAGACGAGCCTTCTACGTGTCTTTTTCGTTAATTGGCCGCCGCTGAAAAATTGCACTTTCTTTCGAGGTTATTGGACTGCCACCGAGGTGCTCTCTTTCGCGGCGATTTTTACTGGAGAACGAGATGAAAGAGCTTGAGAAATATTCCAAGTAAACGTGGAAAAGTCAAAGTTAAAATGTTCAATGTTCTTTTTTACTCTGGAAACGTTGGCGATTGTTTTCAAGTTGCCTCAATTAAAATTAACACACTTTTATTCAGAATATTATTTTATTAGGAACGTTATTATTACCGTTAACGATTACCGGTAATTATTATTATTAATTGTTAATTATTAACGATTAACGTTGTTATTACGTATTCAGATTTTGAGACAAGCATCGAGTACGTATACTTAAAATTGAAACAAAACTAGCAATAAAATAAGCTACAGTATTCATGACAGCAATTATTTCATTTACGAATTTTATTCATTTTAATTGCGAGGCGACTTTATAATAATCGGCTACGTGCGGGACATTTTTTAACCCATCTCAAAAAGTTGAAGTTACTCATAGTCAAGTTTAATATTCTATTGAAAATTCTTCGTGCAATTGGAAATGCTACGCATCAATGGTAACTGCATAAAAAAGAGGGAAAAACAAAACTTTATATAAGTCAACACTCATTGTTAAGTTTCTGACACTGTTGCGGTGCAGTGAATTTTTATATTATTCTGATTCTTATTAATTTAGTCTTTCATTATATTCTGTGCAACTTGAGTCTTTATATTCTTTAAAATCGTGTGCCCCGTAGAGTAAACAAACCCGCGCGTGCCGCGAACACGTGAGAAGTCCGCGATCTATTAATTCTACTAAAAAGCGCGAATAAAGCGGTTAAGGACGGCGGCAAAAGTATCGTTTGAAATCGAACCGTGGACGGCGCGTCCCATCGAAAGTAACTTAGCGATGTTCTTAAAATTGCAGCATCTGGAACCACCTGGTCCAAATCACCAAAGATGGCAACAAAACCGTCATTATCACGACCCACTACATCGAGGAGGCCCGGCAGGCGCACACGGTACGGTAAAACTTGCGTAACCGGAATATTCGGGCGGCCATGTTGGCGTGCACGTGAGAATGCGACGCGATGCCACCGGCTTGCACCTACAATGCCGGATAATGATCGCGTATTAAGATTGCGCAACCGCGATTTTCGTGTTTTATATTGAAAACGGTGAAAACGATCGGACGAAATCGGGACGAGGAAAACGAAGAAACGCGCGAGCCGTGGCCGGCGGTTACCGTCGGCCTCCCCCTCTGCGTTTCTATTCCATTGAAATTACACGAGCGACTCCGTTAAAGGATTATTAAGCAATCGGCGACGGATAATTGCCTGATTGACAAATTGTAGGCTGATGGTAATGCGTTTCGCGACGCGTCCTCGCGAATCCACCGGGTTTCCTCCGCCTCTCCGCGAACCTTGCTACGTTAAGCTGTGCCCTCACTCGCCATCTTTCTTTTACCATTGCATGCTCGGAAAGGCTGCAAACGAGTGCTGATTGGTAGAGACGATTCACTAAAGTCACGGCAATGCGATCCGTGGAACGGTTCGATTTTGTTCGAATTTCTGTTACGATTTTCAGAGGATTTGCTCCTTGCAACCAGAGTCGGCCATTATTCGAATAACTTTTCGTCTAGATAATTATTCGAATAACTTTTCGTCTAGATAATTATTGGAATAACTTTTCGTCTAGATAATTATTCGAATAATTTCTTATCCAGATAATTATTCGAATAATTTCTTATTCAGGTAATTATTCGAATCATTTTATTCGCGAATGATTGATTCACAAATAACTTATTTGCGAGTAGTTAATTAACGAACAAAGAAGAATCGCAAATGGCGAATACAAATCTATTTACTTTATAACTTAATTTATCCTTTTATTCGAATAAACTCTATTCGTATAAATGTATTTCTTCGTCATGCCGTGAATGAAGTTCGCCGAACTCTGCTTGCAACGATACATACATATAGACTCCGTATTTTACGCAATTTCTGGAATAATTTTCCCCGCAATTAGTGCAGAGAATCGATCCAGCAAAAACGATTTATTGCTTCCGCGTAGTCGCGGCATCACCGAAAAGCTGCTGGAAAGATCGAAACGCTGTTGCGCGGCGACCGTTGCATTCGGGTTCACGAGCCTTTAATTAGCTGGAATACTGGGCCATTACGTATACCGCGCCGATTAGAGGTCTCTGTTTGTTTTCCGACGTCCGTGGATTACCGTTCTTACGCCTCGGATGCCGTGCAACGGACAGCTTCATTTCCGCGTGCTTCGCGCGTCCGGAAACGAAATAATTCACCGCGAACGAAAATTCTCGTGAACGGCGACGATCGAACGATGGTTGGCGATGATCTTATGCTCTCGATTGTTTCCAGTAAACAAAATGTGAATTCTTTCGCCGGTAGATTGGCTTGATGAGGAGCGGGAGGCTGCTGGCCGAAGAGTCGCCCAGGGCTCTGCTGCAGATGTACAACTGCCAGTCTCTGGAAGAAGTTTTCCTGAAGTTGTCGAGGAAGCAGGGACAGTACGTCCAGCCGGCGACGGAGTTGAATATCTCGAACAATATTAGTCTGGTAAGATTGCATAAAGAAATCTGTGTTGCCCGAACAACGTCGACGGTTGTCTAACGATCCCATGAATCGCAAAAGCAGGCATCCCTGAACTGGGGGAAGAAGAACGAGCCGGTCTACGTGACGGAGGAATCTGGCGTGGTGGGCCTGAACTTCCACCAGAGCAAGGAGGTCCTCATCCACGACTCGACGAATGGCGTGGGAAACCACTACGACGTAAGAAAAGACTTCAAGTTCACCTTGGAGATTCGTATCTACGCCTTGCGATCCTCTAATTTCGCTCGGCCGTAATCGTTAGACCTATCGCGATGCACTTTCCGATGCATTTAAATGCCTATTACTCGCTGAAGAACAAGCATCTTCCTGTAAACCGATCCCCGAATCACGCTAACCTTTCTGCGGCGCAGCTGAACGGGAAACCACTGTCTGGCATCAAAGGATCCACGTTAGAATGCGACGACTGCGGACCGTTCACGGACTGCTACAAGATCACCAGCACGGGAAAGATGAGAGCTCTGTTGCAGAAGAACTTCTTGAGAATGTGGAGAAACGTGGGGTGAGTTTCCGACACCCAGCGACGATGCTGAATAACAATTAAATATCTTTTGAGTATGAAAGTTCCACGTCGATGAAGACAGTATCAAGTTAGATCCAGTTATCGGACAAGTTTCTGATTGGATAAATTACATAGCTTAGACAATGTTAAGTTACGAACAAATTTAATTAATTTATTATATCATTAAACTTCGATGTGAGCATCCAGATCCAGACTTATGAGCTTAGACGATGCTAAGATCTTCTTGAAATATTTATACGGATAACGATTCTTGTAAACAAGAAGCACCATCAATCGCCCCACGTTCAAGATTGTAACCAAAATGTTCTTCCTCTTGGACAGAGTGATGCTCTTCATCTTCGCACTGCCAGTGATGCAAGTGATCCTCTTCTGCCTGGCGATCGGCAGGGATCCAACGGGGCTGAAGCTCGCGATCGTCAACCACGAGATGTTCTACAACAACATGTCCTGCCCAGTGACGGATGATTGCACCTTCTCGCATCTCAGTTGTCGATACTTGAAGTTCTTGGACAACGAGACGATGACCAAGGTAAGCTCGTAGAAAGTGAGCCACCCGTTCGGTGGGAAGAAGATCGAGGATCATGCGATTTGCTCCGCAGGTGTATTATCCGGACCCGAATTCGGCGATGGATGCTGTGCGGAAAGGGGACGCCTGGGGCACGTTGTACTTCACCGAGAACTTCACGGACGCCCTGGTAGCCAGGATGGCCTTGGGCAGAGAAGCCGACGACGAGACCTTGGATCAGAGCGAGATCAGGGTCTGGCTCGACATGTCCAGTACGTCTGAACGTTTTTATCAAATTGGCACAACGATGTTGTGAAATATCTAGAAGACAGCAAACTCTTTCCAATCATTCAAAAATGCTTCGAAAGATCGTTCCAAATGCCGGAAGTATTAGGGGGACCGGAAAGTTATGTCGCGTTTGTTTACATTAAATTCAAACAGATAAATATGCGCAGAAACGACATTACTTTTCGGTCCCCCTAATATTTAGCATACTTCTTTAAACGAATCGATGGTCGGAAATCGAACGATTAATCATCCCTTAACTCTGCAGATCAGCAAATAGGCCTGATGCTAGCCAGGAACCTGCAGTACTCGTACAGAGACTTTGCCAAAGACCTTTTGTCAGCGTGCGAACAGAACACGAAGCTGGCAGACGTGCCGATCCAGTTCATGGATCCGATCTACGGCACCAACGAGCCCAGTTTCACTGATTTCGTGGCGCCTGGAGTGATCCTGACGTGAGTTTTGTCGTCCCATTTAACCTTCGTCCGATCCTCGCATCAGAGCAACGATCACTGAACATCTCATTGTCTCCCGATTTAGCATCGTCTTCTTCTTGGCCGTGGCCTTGACGTCCTCGGTGCTCATCATCGAGAGAATGGAGGGCCTCCTGGACAGAAGTTGGGTGGCAGGCGTCACTCCGGGCGAGATCCTCTTCTCCCACGTGATCACGCAGTTCGTGGTGATGTGCGGGCAGACTGCTCTGGTCTTGATCTTCATGATCCTGGTGTTTGGTGTCGAGTGCAAGGGCGAGATCGGCTGGGTGATCGTGTTGACGATATTACAGGGACTCTGCGGCATGTGTTTCGGTAAGAATGTTTCGCTCGAATCGCTCGGCGACGATGACGAGGTGGTTTTAGCAGTCTAGTTCTCGTTAGCGATCTCGCTTCGCTGTCGAATAGCGTGCTGTTTATCGCAGCGATCGCTCTCGTCGCAGGTGTCTCCAGCAAAAACCGAATCCACCTGCGAGATCAACCGTCTTGCGTAACATTTACTCGCGCGAGAAACCGCCGCGTTAGGCACGCCGGCTTTTTGGTGTCGAGCCGCGATCCTTCATTACGGTCATCCTGCGCCATTTCTTCGCCGGCGAGATTTTTTTCACGGAATTCGGAAGCAAGCTAACGATCGTCTGTTTTTTTCCAGGCTTCGTGATCTCGGCGATCTGCGAGCTCGAGCGGAATGCGATCCAGCTGGCGCTGGGCAGCTTCTACCCCACGCTTCTGCTAAGCGGTGCGTATTAATTATGCTTCTCCTAGAATGCCTACTGTTTACAGAGCGCCGCGAAGCCATCGCTATAGATCGTATATCGCGATTCGGCCGAGAGCGTAAGGCCATTAAATGTCAACAGAAGTGAAAGTCACCCGCGTTCTTAATTTTGCGCCGCGCGGAGATGCTCGACCGTGCCGTTTCGGGGAAGAATCCACCATCGCGGCCCTTTTTCAGCCGCGAAAAAAAAGAGCATCGAGAGATCCAGCCAACTTTCCAGAAGAGTACACCGTTTATGTAACTCTCGAGTGCTCACTCGTTCATTCGTTCGTTCGTTCGTTCGTTCGTCCGAATGCGACGAACGCTTCCTGTGTGTTACTTTGTAGTTAACAAGTGGCGCACGAATGTCTCCGCGAATCGCTATTTTCATAATCAACTTTGCGAAACGATGGACGGCAAGGCTTCGCTTCCTGGGACCTGGCCGATTAGCTCTGTTGACTCGCGAGCTCGTTTCTCAGGGACTTGGCACTTCGTGTTGCTTTTAGAAATTCATTTTAACACACACAGTGCACAGATGTTCCAATTAATTATTAAGATGAATTAATTTCGATGGTAGCGGATTCTAGTCGGAGAATGCTTTGCGAATGAATGTTTTTTTAATGTGACGTAACTATGTGGGAAAAAATCGCAGCCACGTTACAATTTTTTCAGATTAAAGGGAAAAGATCGAACTTTATTCGGCTGCGAACGGCATCTTCGAAATAAATTTTACGAAGTTCGTGCATTTCGCCAAAGTTGGCAATTTTCAATGACAAACGTAGCCTCGCATTTAAAGGGTGATAGTGGCGAGGGTGCACGGAACTTATGATCTATGAAAACTGTCTTAAAGTAGAGATTTCAAGCTTTCATTTCTTTAAAAAGTCATCATCCTACTACGATTTTTCGCGGAGTTGTCGTCAGTCAAAGTCGGCCAACTTTTATCCGAAATATATCTATGATATAATTTTGTTGAGCAGCACAGTAATTGACGCCCAGCTTGGAAACAAAAATGGACAATTTCGGAAGAGAAGATACGGTTATTCGAGGCCTCGCGGCTCGATTTTATAACTGGCGATTGTCAACGACTATAAAAACGAGGCGCAAGACTCGACTAATGCTTCCCAAATTGTCCATTTTCGTTTACAAGTTGAAGGACAATTACGGAGAATTTACTGTATACATTCTACGATTGAATTTCCTCGGACGTGACACAAAAATTAACCTCTTAGGTACGACACGCCACTATAGTGGCTTTCGCGGATATCACCTCTCTGTACGACGGGCCACTATACCGGGTGTCCCAAAAATGTCTCGCAATCCGGAAATGGCGGGTTCTTCGGATCATTTGAAGCAGCTTCTTCCTTTACAAAAATTTTCTCCGAGGCACCGTTAACGAGTTATTAATGAAAAACAGTAACCAATGAGAATCGAGTACGGCTGACGCGAGGTGGCCCAGCCAACCAGCGCACGAAGCCCAGTTCCACTCGTCGGCTCGGTTGCCAGCTGAGCTCGCCTCTCATTGGTCACTGTTTTTCGTTAATAATTCGTTAACGGTGCCTCGGAGAAAATTTTTGTAAAGGAAAAAGTTGCTTCAAATGACCCGAGGAACCCGCCACTTTCGGATTGCGAGACATTTTTGGGACACCCTGTAGTGGCTCGCTCTAGTAGCTCACTCGCCCTCCGTTTGAATTAAATAATCATCTTCCTATGCATTGTTTCACACTTATTTTGTCTTCACATCGATTTACAACAGTGTTAACAATGTACAGACGGAATACATACAGTATCAGACTCTGAACAGTACATATCAGAATCTGCCGTCCTGTGAAATAGCCTCGCGCAGAATTCAGCCGTACCTAAAAGGTTAATGAAACCGTCGCAACGTCGTCTCTCAGAAGAACTAAAGAATGTCTTGATTTTACAGGCGTGATCTGGCCAGTGGAAGGAATGCCGACGTTCCTGCGGTACATCTCGCAGGGTCTGCCGCTGACAATGGCCACGACGTCGTTGCGCTCGATGCTGACAAGGGGCTGGAGCATCGTGGAGCCGGACGTGTACAACGGCTTCATCGCGACCGTGATCTGGATCGTGGTGTTCCTCACGATAAGCATAATGGTGCTGAAGTTCAAGCGGGGCTAGAGGATCTCGGAACGGGAACGAAGCGTGGCACGGTGACCGCGGCTGGTGGATCAGCCGCGAACGAAACAGAGAGAAGGCTAAGAGAACAGCAGAGTTCGGTGTCGACCTTGGACTATCAACCACGGCCGTGTACGCAGAGTGTATCGTGCTGGGAAGCTGCGAGCACAGGACACGCGCATAGAATTATCGCGCGGCTTCCTCGCGAGACGATCTCGTCAGCGTCGCCGTTCGTGCGCGGACCCCCGGACATGTGATGATGCCCCTTTGCGCGCTTAATTGTGCACTTTCGCGTGAATGCCGACGGATGAATGATCGCGCAGTGTGAGACCATCTCTCTCTCTTTCCTCGTCTTTGGTTCTTTCTGTTCTCTTTGTGTTGTTCTTTTTTTTTGTTTAGTTAAAAATCTGTAATATAACCGCGGATCCTCGGGGACAGGTTGCACCGTGGCTTTCTCACCGTTTCTCGAGAGCCGTGCGCGTCGTCTTCGTCGTCGTCAGCCTTTCGAATCGACGATTAGAAAAGCTGCGCGTTCGGTTCTCTCCGCGAGAGAGCCACCGCGCCTCGACGAACTGCGTCTCGATCGTCATCGATTTTGGAAACGAGAAAGACTTTTGTGTTTGGTGAAATCGATCGAGCGGCTCTCTCGTGGAGGGACACGGTCGTGGATCCAGCAAGAATTGGAAGATTCGAGGAATACGGGGAAACGGACGCCGAGCTGCTTCAATCGTCACGTTTGTTCGATTCGAGCACGATTATTCGACACCGAACGATTACGAGTTTAAGATGCGAGCACCTCGTCGCAACGTTTTTTAAGCAATGAGAATCCGCGAAACAATTGTTTTCCGGAATTATATAAGGCTCGAGATCTTGTACCGAGAGACGGGCGCGCGCGCGAGAACGATTCGCGAAGCGTGAAAGCGCGACGACTGGTACGGCGACAGGTGAATAGGTCCCGGGACGCGAATAGAATCGCGATTAGTATGTTGCGTCAAGCTAACGAGAGTAGCAGCCGATTAGATGTGTAGCACAGTCTTACTTGCCCATGACTTTAGGCGCACGCTAATTGAATCGCGGCGCCTAACACCGATTTCGCGCGGAGGATCGGCCCCGGCTCCAAGGACACGGACATGTACCATATTGTAGAATATGAAAAAAAAGAAGAATCATAGCGGTTACGTTTTGTACGGTAACGGCGGGTCGTGCCCGTCGCATTATGTCTTTTTAGTTGAATTACGTTTCTGTTTCGTCCGCGAGGGCGAATAAGGAAGACCGGATACGGTGTGTACATTTCTATTTTCCTTACGATAATTATCTGTATAAAAAACAATAAAACAACAAGAAAAAAGGTTTTACAAAAAGCACGCGGAAACGCTACTCGTAGATCCATCGGAAGCCTGAAAGCGTTTCTACCATTGGAGGTTTCTATCGGTCGACCGGCTGCATACGGGATCCCTCGTTACCATGAATTACTGTCAATCTACTAAGTTAATCGACGTCAATCTGTACTTTTCCTCCTCGACAAACCATGCTCTGTGCTCCTCCACCTCGTGTTTCCAATAGTCTGCGGGCCAATTAAAGCTGCGGTATTAATTAATCACGGCGGCCTACGCTCGTACGAGCAGGTTCACGGGTTCAGGCGCGGGGACATTGAGAAAACAAGGTGAGCTTCGATTCGGGGCCCCATTCAGCTAATCTGCTGTCCATTGTTCTATTAGCTGCGGCATTTTCTTCTTAATTGCGCGTGCATTAGGTTGCGTAATAAGTCCGTTCGCGTTTACTTGCAAGGAAATATGATATCGTGCGGTCGTCGACGCGATCGGGCTTATACGATTTCTAGCAACTTAAAGTATACAACTTCTAGCGTCTACTTAAAGTAGACGCTTTCAGCTTTCATTTAAGCTAACTTTCGTAGGAATAGCTCGACGAGAACATGTCTCAAAATTCATCTGAACTGTCGCTTCGAATTCGTGTAACTCTCCTTGTCTTTTCCTAGGCGTTGTTAGATATCGGCTCTTTTTAATTTTTACGAGAACACGCGGACGGACTTATTACACGATCCAATATTATTCGCGTAGCCTACTTGGTCGGGCGTCACGATTTAGATGCAAAAGATCATTCGAAACACGGCTTTCGCAAGACGGCAACAAGATGGGAACTTCGTCAACGCGAGCAACTGAAATATCCGTCTTTGCATCTTCGTAGAACCGATCATGCGAGCAACTTTCTACCGTGGAGGAACACGAAATTAGAGAAACATACCGATCAGATCCCTCAGAGTACCATCCGATCCGCCATATTCCTCCGGCAAAATGTCCGTCGGCAGCGTCTTGTGCAGCTTCAGCCTGTCCTTCATGTGCACGTGCACCCGCTTCTTGAGCTTCGCGTTCATGAAGCTCCTGAACACGTTCAGCATCACGTTTATGAACCTGGGAGCGTTGATGAAGTCCAAGGAATAGATCCTGACCGGGTAGCAGCCTTGCCAAGCGTGGACCAGGTTCCTGATCATGCTTGGCGGTAATTGTAACGCGTGCTCGTACGTTATCCCGCCGATGTCCAAAATGGCGGTGATCCCGTGGACGGTTGTCGATTCATGGTCGCTTAGAGCTAGGTCCAGGGTCATCAGAGAGGCCTGAGGACGTGCGCAAATTCTCTCAGTTCTTATAGATCTTATTTTACAAAGATCGAAATACCTTTAGCATGTCCGCCATCTTGTGCCTGGAGGGTTTATGGACAGCCGCGCGTACGATCACCACCATTCTCCCTTCGCTGTCTAGCTTTCGCAAAGGTAGTAGCACCCTGAAGAAGAAAATTGAAGGAAAACGTGTCAGTAAAATTGGAAACCAGTAGTTTTGTCAGTTCGTTATTTTATTGTCATTCGATTATGCACGATCTACGGCATTGTCGCTGTTGAAAAGAAACTATGATCGATGATAACGTTCGAGAATGATTAATAAATTATCCGGCGAGACAACGAAGTGAATCAGAAATCCTTGATCTCGACCATCGGCCGACGAATCGCGTGGCCATCGAACAACTAACAAAATAGCGTCGCGCGTGAAGCAACATTGTCCAACGCATCAGCGAACTGTCACGGCTTATCGGGCGCTGATACGATATCGCGCGGGCAACGTGATCTTCGTGGCAACAAGGAAAGAACAGCATCGAGAGACATCGAACGTGACCGCGGCTCCGGAAGACGATTAGAATAGCGATTACCATTCGCCGCTGTTAGTAATTGAAAACAATTGATAGTTGAACAGGCATCGTCCGGCAAACAATAGAGATTACCCAAGATCAAGGAGCTCCTGCAGCTCCGGCAGAAACGGGTTCCTGTTGCTGTACCATTCCGGGAGCGTGTCCCTCTGCTTGCAGTAATTTTGCAGCTTGCTCTTCGCTTTCTCCATGTTGAACTTGCTGGCTCGCAGGAAGCGCAGCAGAAAGAAGTCGTCTGCGAGAAAATTCGCAAGATTGTCCATTGTTTCAGAGAGACAGAGAGGAAAGAAAGCTGCAGAGACTTCAGGTAAAAATTGCATCGCGGATAATATCTTCGGATAATGGGACGAACATATGTTAGATGACACCAAATATGTAGCGCTTTTCGAAAAATCTATATTTTGTTACCGAACCAATAAATAACGATAACAATTTCGATCGTGCAGCATCGGATTATCTTTAACGACACACTTTTGGTTCAGAATGACGTTAGTAATGCTGATTGAATGGAACATATTCAAATTTTACGTGCATTATGGATTTCACATAAAATGTAAATGCAATTTTATCTGTTCAAACTTTTCCATAGTGTTCCGATAAAGAAAATGAACGTGAGGAAGATCTAAGCCTGATCGATCGGTTCTATACATAAAATCTGCTTTTATCAGTAATTTAAGAGAGAGAAAGAGAAAGAGATACCAGTTTGTGAATGAATTTCGGTATTTTCCAAGATCCACTGTCTAAGTTCCTCAATTTTCTCCGTTCTGTTCTCGTCCGTCTCGTTCAAATGTTCCGCCACGTACTCCCTCTCTTCCGGCGACAGTCGGCAAACGTATTCTTTCAATGGTACCATTTTCTAGTGTTCTCCCGACTTCCGGTCACTTGTCAGCCACGATACGCCACCATAGAACACTCAACGTTTCTTCGAACTTGGAGATCCGCCGGGGAAATCGATGAACGCCGCGAGAAGCAACGAGGATCTATTCGCGATCCAGCGTCTGCGAGAGTCGGTAGGGATCTAAGGCATCTACAGTGCGCTATAGATCGTGTTGGAGACATCTGCCGGGTCGCGCGAGAATTTTGCGAGCCTTCGCGATAAATTTCACGGCGTGACCTTTGGGATGGACAAGATATAGCCGCGGACGTAGCATTTGTCGTATCTTGATGGCTCGAATTTCTATAAAATTTTTGTTTGGTTTCCATTCACACACCAAACGTTAATTATTATTATTATTATTATTTAATAATAATAATTATTATTAATATAATAAATTAAATTATAATAAAATTAATAATTATTATTATTATTTAATAATAAATTAAATTATAATAAAATTAATAATAATAATTATTATTTAATAATAATAATAATAATAATAATAATAATAATAATAATTAACGTTTGCTGTGTGAATGAAAACCAAAAAAATTATTATTATCATTATTAATATATTATTATGTTATTATAATTAAATATTATTATTATTATTATTAAAGCTCTAGTTCAGACAATGGAACAAATTCGAGAGAAACAACGACTGAAATTTGCGAACAAATGATTAAGTTTATTCAATCATGGTGATAACAACGAACTGGAATTTCATAAATAACATACAAACATAACAAAATAAATTAGTTCGATAATTTGTAATAATATATAAATTAGTACTCATCCGTAGATTCTCGTTCCTGCGTTTCTACTTCGTTTCCCAAAAGAATTGTTGTTTCTACACGAGGAAAGAGAACAAAGCGATTAATAGCTTGCGGACTAAATTTCTTAAAAATTCACATAATGAAAATATCTTCTCAAATACAAAATTCTGTAAATTCGATTTCTGGCAATAAAAAAATCCACAACTTCCAGATTAATTTATTACGTTGAGATTAACTGACTGAATCGAAAGTACCTCATTAATATCAGCCAGAATCCTCTTTAATTTCTCGCGCTTCCCTGTAAATCGACTGGCCAATCTTCTGTCCTTCTTGAAACAATTCTCGATACTCTTGGTCTGCCTGAGGACTGCATCTGCCATTCTACGATAATTCTGAAAAATACAGTTCATCTCCGACCGTATCTTCACCTGCTTGCCGTGGAAATCTAGTTTCTTCATCAACTGTATTTCCAGGTTCATCAAGATATTTTTCCGGTAGGATAGAGACGAACTCAATCTATGAAGCCAGTCGGCTTTATCGTATTCTCCCGATGTTAGCGATTCTTGGTCTTCATCCGTGTCTTCTTCCTCTTCTTCTACTTCTTCTTCTTCTTCCTCGTCCATGTGAATTACGCCCTCCACTTCCTTCAGTGTCTCTAGATCTTCCTTCAATACTGTCCGGTGCTGGATAAATCGATCGGAAGTTGATCAAACAAATCGATAAAGTGATTAATCGTCAACCTACTCGCGACAAACTGTCCATCATTGCTAAGGTCTTCTGAAAATTTGGTAAATCATCTCTGTTGCTCTTGAGTAGTACGTCTGCGATTTTCAAGTATTTGCATCCATCCTCCAATAGTACGTTCAGATATTTTTCTTTCTGCTTGGTCGAGGATTGCAAAGAAAGTTTATTTAACGATTAATTTAACGTTGCGATATAATCGCGCGATTTAAACTTAGATTAGATTCGTGTTAGATCGAGAAAATGTGCAGGCTTTGAAGGAACAAATGTTTCTTACCATTGTGTCATTGTGATTTGCCATTTTTGATTGTTCTTCTAATCGAATAAATAGATCCAGAGACGATTCTATTATAGCAACACTTTAAGACCGTGCAGTTTAAATCGACGTAATATTTATCAAAGGAAAGACATTAAATATACAGCTAACTCGTTTAATAAACTGTGGCTCCTCGAATCGAATGATATTCATTTCGCGCAAGAAATAAAATCAATTTCGCGAGCCGTCTGATTTCAAAGACGGTGGTTCGTTGACTGAACTTTGTATTTACAAATCTGCACACTGAGGTGACTCGAAAGTTGAAAGCTGAATAGATGTTCCAAATAGATCTTTGATTGCCTGTAGACATTAACGGATTCTTAACTTTGTGAACGCCTCAAACGTTTCTGGGAACTGTAATATTTCAGAATTTGCGGATGGAGGCGTTTTTCTGCGCCAACAATTTTTTTTTTGGAAGCTTTGCAATTTAATTTAAACGATGCGTTTCACACACATCGAAATTCCAATCGTAAGACCGTTGTTCAATTTAATCGTGTATTTATTTCAATCTATTATGTCTTCGTCTTTTCTATTATCCTTAATTACTGTTTCAATGCATTTGATCATCTTAAGAAGTTGAATTATGCTATCTGGACTAATAGATATATTGTAAGATTTTCGGACAATTTAAATTGTCGCTGTTGCAATCAAATAAACGTGGAAATATAAATTTAAAAGCTCTGGTTTCTTGCGATGTCGGTACCTCAGAACATGCGACACGAAATCCTCGTATCGTGTTCGGTCTTACTCTGATATCTCGTCTGTGACTTAACGCTGCACTTTCCCCTACAGATGTCGCTGCGGGCAACTTCCAGCAACTGTATTGCTGTTGCAGCTACAGTTTTGTTTACTTCAGCTAACCAGTGACGTACGTTTTGCGTAGTTGACGATAGTGAAGGGCGTCCATAGTAATTATGAATAGATTCCATTGCAGAAATGGCAACGTCGATCGAATCACAGTAGAAGACAGTGCAACAGCGAGGAAAGTTACGATCACAGAACTCTAGTGATATATATAATGTTGAAACCACAGATTGTTAATCTAACATGGTCGTTCCAGTAAGTAATTCCTACAATTATATGATATCCATTGAAATCGGTTTCGATAGGATTTCCTAATGTCCTCATTGTATGCCTCTTACAGAACAAATGGAAATGGTAACTCGAACAACCTATGGCCAGAACTATGTCAGACAAATCAGGTCAGGCACCCTGCACGCAAAAAAGAATTGAAAACCACAGAAGAACCGAGCGATACAGTCAGCTTGAACAGTGCGGAGTACCCTGAGCTCAGCACTGCAGTAGTTAAAAGCAAGAATACGGTTGCTGTGAACAGATATTGCTTGCCGAGCCCTACTATAACAGTTTTAGTACCGGAGTTGGATATGGAGCCAAGGAAGTCGAAAAATATTAGGAGATTCAAGAGGCCCGATAAAATATATGTCAATCTTCAGGAGGCTTTGGAGGTGATTGTATCTAATATTTGAATCATTATTTGCAATACTCGCATATTATAGGCTATAATAAGATTTTAATTACAGAGCGCCAGATGTATGAACAAAATAAGCAAAGAGTTACCAAAATTCAGGATCAATATCTATAAGGGGGGAAGTTCTTGCACGACAAATCCAATGATGAGAAATTCAAGTTGGAGCCTCAGAAAAGTAAGGATACCAATTTCCAAAGACAAAAAACCTTCTAAATTGAAGAGAATAATTCTCTGCAACCGCGATATGAAAGTACAAATAAATGTTCAGAAAAGAGAAGAGTTTGAACGTGCGAAGGTGAAGGCTATCTGTAAAGATGTCGACGCTATTAATTTTAACTCCTTGAAGATCACAGCTGATAGAGAAATAGATGTAGACTGTGTTAACCATATGTGTACAATGACATTGTACGACAATGACTATAGATTAAAGAACGAGCAAAATATTTCAGACAGCTCGGTATATTATAGACCAGACATAATCAAGAAGATAAGCGATCTTCGCATTCAAAACAGGCCCATGATTAGCACATTGATCGAAACGAACGACAGACGTAATCCTTTTCAAATAAATGACGATGTCGAGAACGATATTGTAAAACAGACGCTGTCCCTCCAAATCAAAGAGGACATTAAGCAAGAGATCAAGCAAGAAGTTCAAGACGATCCGGAGGAGAGCGTCCAATTAAATGTTAACAATTTTTTGATGTACTCACGCAATTTTAGAGAGTAAGTATCCACCTAGTACCTAGGCAGTTCGAAAGCAGTTTCGTATTATATACACACGAATCACGTTTTATCATAGTGTTTTATCGAATGTTCATCTGTATCCTTGGCTCACCGAAGTTTATTTACATAATAAATAATATATTTGATACTACTAAAACGTTTCTTCAAGATGCGATTCCTGTTCCATCCGTTCCCTGATCCTTGAGCATCCATAGCGGCCACCGGCGAAACCGGCGCAATTTCCATTTTTTTATGTTGGTGCACATTGCAGATACTGTACCAACATGTTAACACCGGGATTCACGAGCGCCCTAGAGACGTTTCTGCGCGAAATTACCAGACTACAAAAGCGCTATCACGAGAAGAATCCGAATAAGTCGTTATACAAACGTCGTTATTATTCCGGCTTGAAAGAAACGAGGAAACATTGCGAATTAAAGAAGCTTAAGTTCGTGATAATTGCACCGGACATAGAAAGGGTTGAGCTCGAAGGTAAGAACAAATGAAAAACGTAAAATCTAATTCGGCCGTGCAACTCTGCACGGGGATTTCCACGTTGTAGGTTAGACAATTTATATTGAAAATGACAGTAAAGTTATCGTATTCGCGTGATTATAGGTGGACTGGACGACGAAGTGAGCAAATTACTCAACGTGTGTAGCAAAGAAAATGTGAGCGTTTGTTTCGGAATGACCAGACGTAAGTTGGGATATTATACTCACGGGAGAGGTTTCGTGGGATGTGTTGGCATTGCAAATTACAGCGGCATCGAGGTAAATAGAACACGATCTTCATTGTGGATACAGAAAATTACTGTAACGAAATTCTTACAGGAGATATTTGAAACAGTTCTGATCGAACTGGTGCACGCTCGCAACGCGTTCAAAACGTCAAGCGGCGCTGGAGATGCACTGATCGATATATCGAAATCTGTGTCCGCCGAGTGCTTACTTTCTGAGAATATTGGCGCGCTTTTGAAAACTTTGTCTTCGAATAACATTACGCTCTGCTGATATTCCTACCGAAAACGAATTATTGTCGCCACAGAGATATCGCACAATATAAATGTTAATTTTAGTCTGTGGGATACTTTGAAGAGGAACGATTAACTTTACAAAGAGATTATACATTGGAAATGTTTCTTTTTTACCATAGCATACTTTTAAAAAAGAATGGTTTATTCTACAAAAAGATTATACAGTAGAGATGTTTCTTTTTTTTCATAGCATACTTTAGAAAAGAATGGTTTATTCTACAAGGAGATTATACAGTTGCCATCACTTTTAACAGCTTGCCATCACTTTAATTCTGAAGAATAGTTTTTATAGAATAAATAATTCTGACGAATTAATTATTTAATAAATAGATAAAAATTGATATCGTTGCAAACATGATACTCAACTTTGTTATACATTTTATATCTTTTACACAATTGACTAATTACGAGTATACTACACGTTTCAGTTTATTTTTTTACTGTTAAATGTACAAATAGGTTTTTATACATTGTTGATGATAAAAGAGACGGTATTTTGCACTGTTCAATGCCTGAAAGATCGACACCTTTATATTTATAAGAACAATAAATTCTTCAAAGGATTCTTCCATTTGTATATATTTATCCTGATTTTCAGAGATCTGTTTCCTCGGTCCAGCTTTCACGAATCACACTAAATCCGTCTAAAACGAACGAAATATCCCTTCTATCGATGTCTATACCTTTTGGCAGGCGGTAACGTTGTTTCCACTCCTAAAATCATCCGTTGATCAAAGGTTCCCATGCTTTATCACTGTCATTCTTCCAGCAGTCCTTCGCAAGTGAGCAATCATCGCGGCAAACCAGAACTCTACAGTCCCATTAATTAAATCACTCGGTGCTGAAGCATTAACGATGCAACTATCGCAAATGCAGCGACCTGCCTGCATCGAGCACTCGTCGGTGGATAAAGCAGATTCATCGGACTCACCTGTGCAGCCTTGGCTGCACATGTGGACCGCGTTCCAATTCTGCTCGCTGTAGAAAAGCGCATTCGATTACTTAAGTCAACGGAACGTCAAGTTATCCAACTGGCGATGATTTACGCGTCCAATTAACAGCTCGTTAACTGATATCGAACTATTAACGCAGCTCTCTCGCCACGCGACTCTGTCCGCCAGGTGTTCGTCGGTAAAATCTCTATCGGACAGGGTGTAATCTCTGCTCGAGTGCCTCGAAAATCAAAACCAACGCACCGATGTATCTCGGTCAGTTGCAGATACGTGGCTTAATTACCGCATCGCAGCGCGCGAGGCACCCGTGGGAGGATTGGTATCGATTCCTCATTAATCCGAATGAAAGATGCTAATCGATCCGATGTGTAAACGCTTTATCGGCGGGCCCCAGTGATCCCCGGGATGCGTTCGCCATTCCGTTTCTTGCTCTTCTTCCTGCTGCACTATGTGACCCGTTGCGAAACACGCTCGCAATCGCATTAGCCTCCTAAAGCGTCTGTAGTCGGCCGGCGACGATTTATATTTATGCAGCATTTCGTCACGCGCGAACAAAGGAACTCGCTAGAGAAACAAAGATAACGCTCGGAACGACGCTCTCCGGCCTGATAATGAGCTTCGCGCGTCTCTTGGGTAACTTGATTGATCGATCGATCGAGGGAAAGATTTTCTTTCCAAATCGATTTACATATAGTGAAGCTGAAACGCTGTGGTTGGCGGCATAATGTTACAGATTGATGCGAAAAGCGTACGAGGACAAATTTGCGATTTCTTTGAAGCCGAGTTTGCAGACTTCGTGGTAATAAAGGGTGATAAAACGGATTAGTAGACTGCGCGGAGCTTACGCGTCTATGACTAAATGAATAGATTAAATATGTGAGATAGCAGAAACGTCTAAAGGAATTTTATTTTGCACGAGAATCGATTAGCATACTGTGTCTTCGTTCTTCCTTTTTCATGGGATAATTATACAAATTCTGTAACTAATTTGTTGGCACAGATCTGCAAAGTTAAATATCTCCGCGTGAAATGTTCGAAGAATTTAAGAAGATCGTCACGCTATTTTGGACTTATTACAACCATGAACGAAGTAAAATCATTTTTATCTATTTTCCGCTACTTGAAATCGATTTAGAAAGTTGCACAAATCGACGAATTCTCATCACAATTGCATAAAATCTGCAAACCTCAGTTAACACTAAACCTACCAAGCAGTAATACTAACNCTCGGTGCTGAAGCATTAACGATGCAACTATCGCAAATGCAGCGACCTGCCTGCATCGAGCACTCGTCGGTGGATAAAGCAGATTCATCGGACTCACCTGTGCAGCCTTGGCTGCACATGTGGACCGCGTTCCAATTCTGCTCGCTGTAGAAAAGCGCATTCGATTACTTAAGTCAACGGAACGTCAAGTTATCCAACTGGCGATGATTTACGCGTCCAATTAACAGCTCGTTAACTGATATCGAACTATTAACGCAGCTCTCTCGCCACGCGACTCTGTCCGCCAGGTGTTCGTCGGTAAAATCTCTATCGGACAGGGTGTAATCTCTGCTCGAGTGCCTCGAAAATCAAAACCAACGCACCGATGTATCTCGGTCAGTTGCAGATACGTGGCTTAATTACCGCATCGCAGCGCGCGAGGCACCCGTGGGAGGATTGGTATCGATTCCTCATTAATCCGAATGAAAGATGCTAATCGATCCGATGTGTAAACGCTTTATCGGCGGGCCCCAGTGATCCCCGGGATGCGTTCGCCATTCCGTTTCTTGCTCTTCTTCCTGCTGCACTATGTGACCCGTTGCGAAACACGCTCGCAATCGCATTAGCCTCCTAAAGCGTCTGTAGTCGGCCGGCGACGATTTATATTTATGCAGCATTTCGTCACGCGCGAACAAAGGAACTCGCTAGAGAAACAAAGATAACGCTCGGAACGACGCTCTCCGGCCTGATAATGAGCTTCGCGCGTCTCTTGGGTAACTTGATTGATCGATCGATCGAGGGAAAGATTTTCTTTCCAAATCGATTTACATATAGTGAAGCTGAAACGCTGTGGTTGGCGGCATAATGTTACAGATTGATGCGAAAAGCGTACGAGGACAAATTTGCGATTTCTTTGAAGCCGAGTTTGCAGACTTCGTGGTAATAAAGGGTGATAAAACGGATTAGTAGACTGCGCGGAGCTTACGCGTCTATGACTAAATGAATAGATTAAATATGTGAGATAGCAGAAACGTCTAAAGGAATTTTATTTTGCACGAGAATCGATTAGCATACTGTGTCTTCGTTCTTCCTTTTTCATGGGATAATTATACAAATTCTGTAACTAATTTGTTGGCACAGATCTGCAAAGTTAAATATCTCCGCGTGAAATGTTCGAAGAATTTAAGAAGATCGTCACGCTATTTTGGACTTATTACAACCATGAACGAAGTAAAATCATTTTTATCTATTTTCCGCTACTTGAAATCGATTTAGAAAGTTGCACAAATCGACGAATTCTCATCACAATTGCATAAAATCTGCAAACCTCAGTTAACACTAAACCTACCAAGCAGTAATACTAACTGGCATGTACCGCTTCACAAAAGTGAGAAGATCGAATTTATTTAGAATTTGTAAAGTTTTTTATTATAAAACTTGCTCCAATAATATATAACTTATTCAAGCGTTTTCCACGAAAGCGTCTCGGAACTTTTGCAGAATTGCAAAATAAGAAAGCGGTAGGTTACATTGTTATATATTAAATAATAACTTTGACCGCGGTGGGTTCAGTGTTAAAATAACAACGGCGCGTAACTATTAAAAACCCGAAATCCGGTCGAATTCTTCTAAATTCACGGGATGCTCGACGAAGCCGAATGCTCGAACAATAAACGCTTCGGCCGAAATTCCTGAAAATTAGGGCACCGGCTGCGGCGATCGTTCTTTCGGCTCCCCGAGGCAGGCTGCCCGGAATTCCCCTCGAATTCCAGGGTTCCACGGGGGCAAGACGAGAGCCTCGAGAGGAGCGCCTCGTCGCGTCGGGTTCTCTTTCTCTGTTGAAGATGCGAGAGTGGGCCCGGCCTGAGATGCACGAGGAGAGGCCGCGGTTGGAATGGAGCTGGAAACGAGAGGCTGCGGGGGAAGTGGATGCCAGGCCAGCCGGTGTGTGTTGATGCAAGTGCGGTGACTGTACGGTGCTGACTGGCGGAGTCAGTCAGTCAGTCAGTCAGTCGGCTCGGCACCGGCCGCGACGCACGATCGCGTGGTTTTTTCTTGGTTCCCCGGACGGCGCACGTTAGGCTAAGCTGCCCCGTTCAGCTCGGCTCGTCTTGTCGGTTTCTAGCAGTTGTTCGCTCGGCCCAGTTTTTCCAGCGAGCCTCTCTCCGAAAGTGCACCTCTCGCCGGATTAACCCGAGGAGCTTCCCAGCGGAGAGTTCACCGCCTGGCAGACCAGGTAAGCGACACCTTCTTGCGGGTTCCGATCGGTCTCGCGAGGGTCCTCGGGAAAGAGAGAGGCAGAGAGCTATAGCGATCATCGTGGAGCGACCGAGGAAACGGCTCCGACCACTTTGTTCTCGAGAGAGAGAAAGAGAGAGAGGAGATGGCCGGGCCTGAATTATTTTGATGTCCCGTTAGGCGTCAACGATCGACGGATCGACGTCGAGCAGCAAAGCCTCCTCTCCTCGGTGACCTTTCTCAGTCGGCGAGGGTGCGCTCCGCGAAAATTAGAGCTCTTGCGAAAATTCGGCTTCGAGAATGTCGCCTCTGCCGCCTCGCGGATCGCGCTCGTCTCGATCCGCGTTGATTCGTCTTACGCCGTTGTCGGCGCGCACGAAGTTCGGAGCAAACAGTGAAAATGACACGGTTTCGTCTCGAAAAGTGCGATTATGGTCGCGCACGAGGGTCCCCAAATGGCCGCTCCTTTGTGTGCAGCCCGATACGATCGCGGCCCCGCTGTCGTGGCCAGGGATCGATTCAATTAACGGGACAATCGGGAACACCGTTTCAAGAGCCGCGCGTTATCGGAGAGTTAACCGAAAGCCGTGCCTCGTGTTTTACGCGGTCCGCGTCACGGATGCATAATAACCGCGATAAACGCTAAATGGGAAGGCGTGTCGCGAGGGAATCGTAATCATCGGTGACTCGGGCGGACGAAACGTCATTTTTTTTACTGGACTGCGGCGGCCGAACACGATCTCGCGGTGTTCACCGATCCGCTTAACGATCGAGACCGATCTAACGGCTGCAAGGATCGCTAGGACATCGTACTGACTATCTCCACGGTAATCGTCCTAATGACTCGCACGTGCTGGCTACCCGCGGCCTGTGTTCCGACCGGTTTGTTCTCGTGCCAGTGTTTGTTTCGACTGGGAGACTGGAGATTTTTAGTGAAACCTGGCCCGAAAGATTTGGGATGGGTTTTGGAGCTCGTTTTGTAATTAACGCTCGGAACGAGCGAACGACCGACTGCACGTTTTGTTCTTTAGAAGTCTTGAGGTTTTAATGATTTTTCGTAGGTAATGATCGAATGGATACCTTAATTCCAGCATACGTTGTAACAGAAGTGGCGGAAAGTCTTGATAAATTCGATCTTGTCGTGTTTAGAAAAAAGAGAAACATGTTAGTGATTTCTAGTGCTCGGCAGGTTTATTGTTAAGAAACGATCTAAATTGGAAATTCGTTTGTTGAAATTGGAATCGGTATCTCTTTTATATAGAGGATTGGAGATCTTCGGCAAACACAGGTTCTGAAAGATCCTTGCGATCTTTGCGAATGAATTTTGCGAGTTCGCAGACAATTCAGTGTCGTTTTCTATATCAAAAAGGATCCAGTTTGCGAAATCCCGTTGCGTCGAGCATCGAATAGAGCTAAATTGTGTTCACCTTGAGGTCGACAATGTAAACGTCCACTTACCCGAATTCCGGACAGACCGGAATTGGAGCAATCGACGTTGAAAAATGCGACAAATGAAACAGAGAAATCTCGTTCTCGAGTTAAAGCCGTACCAAGATTATTAAACGCGCGCGACGCTAGCGCGGAACACGAATTCAGAAAGTTTTTAAGGCTTTGAACGGTCAAGAGGCGAGCTGAAAATGTAGGTCACAGGATGCGGGATGAAATCATCAACCGTTTAGCGATTTCGGTGAAAATTCTGCGACGCTCGGTTTTTGCCATCTGTAGCGACACACGTTCTGCTCTATCCCGAAGCATAAAAACCGATGACTCAAAGTGAACTGTTAGACTTTTACCATGCGCCCGTAGAACGAGCCAACAAATTCAGAAAGTTCGCGGCCGAACATCGTGCCAAGATATAGGGCCTCTTAGTATTCCCATAGCAAAGAGGACGGTTCTAGCAGTCGGTTCGTGTCGCGCGAGGAAAGAACCGCATAGTTTCACGATGGGACGCGCGGCACACAGCCTGTTGTCGCCGGTATTTCATGCGCGCGAAAGCAAATTAGCAGTCACTTTCCTCGAGTTCATCGAGCCGGGCCCCCGTTTTAGGCCGTTTCTTTGTCACAAAGCGTTGGCAACGACGTTTCACCGTCGCGCTGGTAGCGACGCGTAGGCCGCGCGTCCTCGCGGATTGGCAACTCGGCGCGGCGAGCGCCGTTTTGCGTCGCGATTTTGCGCGAGGCGGAGAAAAAAAACAGGCTGACACGTGAAAGTACGCTTGCGAAATCGAGGAGAGGATATGTAATCTAATTCTAACGGTAACGAGGCACCGTTCCGACGCGACGCGACGCGGCGCGACCCGACGCTCCGGCTGCCAAAACAAACCGAACGGCCGGCGTTAATTGTTTCTAATTATTTGATGAGTTCGTTAACGCGGGTCTGCTCGCGGATTAAGCCGCGGGCTCGGATCCGTTGATTTACGTCCAGCAATATCGCGGTTACACTTGTCCGTTTTCACGCAACAGAATCACGTCCGGTGGCCTTCTTCCACTTCCACCGTTTCCGGGAACGCGGATGACGCGTTTCCACAGATAACGACGCATCCCGGCTTTCGACCAACGAGGGTGCGCAATTAGAACTTGTCTTGCAACGGAAAACTGTCGCGTAAATAAATAGCATAAATAAATACAGTAATGTCTCTCTAATTGACGTTCAGATTTTGCACAAAAATGGACAATTTGCGAAGAGGAGATACGATTATTCGAGCCTTGCGCCTCGTTTTTATAATTGTTGGCAATCGATAACCATAAAAAACGAGCCACAAGGCTCGAACAATCGCATTTCCTCTTACAAAATTGTCTATTTTTGTGGACAATCTGAGCGTCAATTAGAGAAACATTACTGTAACCCTTTTCGCAGATTCATTTTCCCGGAGTGAAAAACAGTGACACGATCTTTGTTTTTACGATTGGACCAGTCAGTGCGAATCTTGGACAATCTACTGAATTAATCTCGTCGATTTCCATCGACTCGTTTCATCGTGTCGCACCCCTTCGATTTTACCATCTTCTCGTGCATCATAATATTTTGAGACAAGGCGCTATGGATCGAATTTTTATGAATTCCTTCAGACGCGTCAACGGCATGATTTTTATTTCACCGATTTCACCGCCTAGTTAGCACGCACCTTGTATGAACCCCCTGTATTAATCACGTCGATTTCAATCTAGTGCGTTTCTTCGTGTCGCACTTCGGAGTTCAATCATTTTTTGCACGGCCACGCGAAACAAAGAGAAACGAATGTTTCGTTTGGACATCGTTTGCAAAGCTAAACGATGCGACCATGTCACAGGACCCGTGCCCCGCCTCCCGCGAAACATCCTCCCCCTCCCCCGGAATCCGCGTATGAACGAAAAAGGGAACAACAGGCAAAAGAGCATAATGGAACAATTTGCAGCGGAAAAAGAATGAAATTTCGCGAGTGATCGATTGCCGGCGCGCGGCGCGACGCGACGCGACGCGGCGTTGCGGTCCGATTTGGAAGGCTCGTTATGACGGGTCCCTAATTGGAGGCGTAACGCGGGATATCGGGCCGGGAACTGGAACGAGACCGTGCCCGCGCGGAATTAGTATCGCGGAAATATATGTATACGCGAGTTTTTTCACGCCGATGTGCGTAGAGAGCCTGTTGCGTTCCAATTGAGCTCCGGCAATTGGTCACGCGCGAATTACGTTATCGCATCTCGAAGGTGCCTTAATATCTCTCTTTCTCTCTTCTTCACCACGACTCCGTCCCACTCTCTCTCTCTCTCTCTCTCTCTCTCTCTCTCTCTCTCTCTCTTTCTCTCTCTGTCTCTTCCACGGGCACTCTTTGTCCCGATAATATGTGCCGCGCGCGATTAGATTGCGGACGCGGAATCATAAAGATTTTTACACCCCGGTGGCATTAAATCGCGCGAATGTTACAAAACGGCTCGCCGTTTACGGGAGCAAAGCGTGCGGAACGATTCCGAGCGAAAAATGTGGCAATAAGCTTCTCCGCGCCGAGACTTCATCGTCGAGACCCGTTGCTATTTGACGCTGTAGGGTTGCACTTTACTGGGTCACGTACCAAATTCCTTCGTGTTGCTGTTAATCCATTACGTTCTCGGAGTACATACTCGAGGCTCCACCGATCAAAATTCTGAAGTGTATACCGTGTCAGAAGTATACCTTCTTATTTTACGTGTAATTCAGCCTGTCGAAGAGTTCTGATTACAGAACTGTGGACAATATTAACACTACGCCGTCCGGTGGTACCACTTTGGTGCCATTTTAAAAAACTGAAATAACATTTGAACTATATTTCTTGGGTGTTAAAAGGCAGCAAACTAAATATAGCATCGTGTTTATTTAACTAAGAATTAAGTACGAAAATTCTTGGATGACATATCTTCATTTTAGGAATTTATATTATCGCCATCTTCGAAATTTTTTTAAAAATCTAAAATTTCCAAGCTATTATGCCGGCGTCAAACAAAAGAATCGTATCTAAGATCTGCGGACGGCACAGTGTTAAGCTGCGCTGTCTTGAGCTCATTGAAAGCATCTTGAATCAAGACAGCCGTCGAAAGGAACGAAAGTGTCATGCTCGAAGATGTAGAAAATTATTCGAGCTATTTTACGTGCAGCGTAAAGGCTGCCACGGAACAACGAGAAACAATCGAATGGTATCAAGGTAACAAGCTCCAGGACGTGGAATGTGAAAGAACATTTTCTGTGAACACGATTTAGCACGTGTTTTGTTTATTTGGCACGCGTGAAGAGAGAAAAGAAAACGCGGAAAATGGAAAACGGATCGGCTGCTGACGCAGAACTCGAGCAGAATCGGTTTCTTGCCGATAGTTCGAAGACACAGCGAGTGAAAGTGCGTCTGGGAACCGTGCGGGCACAATCGCAAGCTCTCCTAGGGCAACGAACGTTCGCAGTGCCTAAGCCATTTTAACGATAACCGAAGACCGATTAGCGGCCGAGCAGCAGAATGCTTGTTCGTGGAAGTCGTTAGCCGGCTGACACAGTTCG